GGATTTTTTTTATCCTTTTTATAATGCTAGTTCAAGTTTTTGATGATATGATGTGTTTTTTGTGTGTTGGGATTGTGCTAACATCAAAGTATATAGTCGTACTTTTATCATTTCATTGTTTCATATTAATGACTAATATTACACACACATACATACTTATATAGAGCTGTAAACTCTATTTGCAAATTAAGGTTAATTGGTTCAATGATTTTTTTATTTAGATGTTTGATTGTTTTTAAGCTCTTTAAACTTCCTACTTATTGCTCTCTAAACCTAGGATGTTAAAGCTTTTATACTCACAATGGAAAATAAGCTAAATGCCATTAACCTTTAGGTGTATTTTTGCAGCCTTTTGACTAAATCAGTGCTACTATTTTCTCAAAGCTCGTAACTTAGCTTAATGCTGCTACAACTAAGCTTCGAAAAGTTTACAAAAGTTGTAAGATAATAAGGAACCTAGCAAATTTTACAGTTTGGTTAAGTAGCTTTGGTTTGTTTTCATATAATCTCAATTTTTAATGCTTTTTTCGTTGTTTTGATTTTGAGCAATTTGTTTGATTTTTACATTCATTTTAACATTATATATGGAAGACCTTAGATTCTACAGCTCTAAAAAGTTGTTTTGTTTTGTTTTATGACATTGAAAAACAAGAAACTATTATATCAAAAATGGGCACAAGCTAAAACAAAAGTTGCTAGGGTAATTTACTAAGATTTCACAAGTCTTTAAAATATTAGAGTAAAGCTTTTTTTCATAAGTACTTAAAATGTGGTATGCTACTTTGCAAATTCACTTAAAGACTAACAAGAGAATCCTTTTCAATTTGTAGGTTGGGAATGGCTTGTCTAAGGATGAAAAGGCAAAAAAACTAGCCTTCTAACATTGGCTTGAAGTTGTAAGCTCATATAATCCTTGTTATTTAGTACTCTAGCAGACTAGGTTTTTTAAAAGTGGTTTGTTTTGCTAGTTCAAGTTTATGAAAGAACTAAAGACTTGAAAGCATAAATTTTCTTTCAAAATTGGCTTTTCATCCTTCAAAACATAGATATTTATATCCTACAAAATAAGTCCCTAAGTCTGTCATTTGATAAGGTGGCTAGGTGTTTTATAAATTTGTAATGTCAATCATCCTACCAAATAAATTCTAAATTGTTTATCTTTCATGTTTATTAGTGTAATCGCTTCAATAAAGCAATCATTTAAAGAAATTTGTTGGTAGTATTATTTTTTGCCTATAAGCCTTTCAAATTCACTAGTAATTAGTGCTAAAAACTCTCTAGCATCCTAACAATGTTGAATCTGTATTTTGCTTAATTTTTGTAGAACATACTGAGATGCAAGAGCAAAAGGTGAAAATGTTGTTTTTGTTATAGGGTGAAAAATCGTTTACTTCTGTGGAGAATGTGAGAAATGAAAGAATGCAAGTTTTTTGGACCAAAAAATTAGAGAGTACTTAAATATGGTTCGAAATTTGTTACTTTAATGCTTATTTGGTTTTATATAACAATGTTTTTGAAAATTTTTATTTATTTGTTTTTTATTTAGAGAGGTCACAATCTTTAATAAAAGTACTTTTTAATGAGGGTCACTACAAGCATTCATTAAAAGTAAAAAACTTTAAGTGAGGATCAATAAAAGATTACACTAACGGTAAAAGATATAATGAGAGTCAAAATAGACTTTCATTATAAATTTTACATGAATGAGGCTCAAAATTACCTTCATTAATTGTTTACATTTAGCAAGGATCTTTTAACCTTCATTAAATGATGGATATAGTGAGGGTTAAGTTTTATTTTTCATTATATGTAATTGACAAGAGAACTGACAATGAAAACTTATGAAGGTCAACATGGCTCAGTAAAAGAATTAGTAAAGATTATATAAATTTTAGTCAGGATCATGACTTTTACTAAAAGACTATTTTTGTTGTTTGCATGGATTTTGGTGGATGTACTTCCAGGCTACAAACCAATAGGTTGCAAATAGATTTTCAAAAGAAGAATGGAAGTGGATGGTGCTATGACATGGATGGTATTGTAGACATGTTAGTTATTAAGAGATTTACACAAAATATGAAATTGTTTATTTTTATATATATGCGTCGGTAGCAAGAATAGCTATAATAAGAATTTTTAGAGCATTAGCCTCTATATATAAATTAGAAATTCACCAAATAGATGTTAAAACAACATTTTTAAATAGTGAATTGGATGAGGTGGTATATATGAAACAATTCGAAGGGGTTGTGATTCTAGGACAAAAAGAAAATGGGTAATTAAGAATATTTGCAGCATTAACCTCTATATATAAATTAGAAATTCACCAAATAGATGTTAAAACAACATTTTTAAATAGTGATTGGATAAAGAGGTATATATACAACAATCTAAAAGGTTTGTAATTAAAAGACAAGAAAAGAAAATATGTAAATTGATTAAGTTTTTGTATGAACTCAAATAAGCACATAAGCAATGAAAAAATTTGATAAAGTTGTTCTAGCTAATGGATATAAGATTAATGAATTAGATAAGTGCGTTTATAGTAACTTTGAACTTGAAAAAAATGTCATTATATGTTTATATGGCTGATGACATGTTACTTTTTGGTATAGAGTTGAAACAAGTTGAAAGTATAAAAAATTCTTGTCAAATAATTTTATTAAGAAAGATATGGGTGTTGCAGATGGGATTTTAGGAATAAGGACTTTGAGAAAAAATAATAGTTTGATATTATCCTAATCACATCACATTAAAAAAATCTCAAAAAAGTTTAATTGTGATGATTGTGCAACATTTACAACACCTTATGATCTCAATTTGAAGTTATTATCAAATAAGGGAATGTCGATTGCACAATTGGATTATGCAAAGTAATAAGTTGTTTGATATATGCAATAACATGCACTAAATTTGAAATAGCTTTTGCAATTGATAAGCTTAGAGGAATACAAGCAACCTAATTGCTTGCATTGGAATGTCATATTAAAAATATTGAAATATTTAAAGCTAAAATACTAAAAAAACTTGAACTATTTCGTTTTTTTTTTTTTAAATAAACCTCTATTTTTATTATACCTAAATAAGCCATTATTTTTTTATTTGTATCCAAATAAGCTCTTACTTCAATCGAAAGTTCGACTTATGTTAATAGTTTATTTAAGTACAAATTAAAGTTATAGATTTATTTAGATACAAATTAAAGGATAAAGGTTTGTTTGGATGCAAATTAAAGTATAAGGGCTTATTTGGGTACAATAAAAATATAAGAGCCTATCTAAATAAAATGGTAAATTTTAGAGGCTTGTTTGTTATTTTTGCCTATATTGAAAGAAAACTATAATGATGTACCTTTTATCTTAAAAGGAAACACAGATGCAAGTTGGATTACAAACATAAAGATTATTCATCCATAATTGGGTGCGGTTTCTTAGGGATCTAAGAAAGAAATTTGTATAATGGATTCTATTATGACTTCAAAGTTTGTAGCTTTCGCATCAACTTGTACGAAATCAAAATGGCTAAGAAACCTATTTTATGAAGTTCTTTTATGGCCAAAACTAGTGTCACCAATATTAATAAATTGTGATAGTGAAGTTATAGTATCAGAGGCATATAGTCATGTCTATAATGGGAAGTTAAAATGCATTGGCATAGCTATGTCAGAGAATTAATCAAGGACAAGATGATCATCATAGATTTTGTCAAATCAAGTGAGAACTTGAAAGATCCATTAACAAAGAATTTTTTAAAAAATTAGTGTCTAAAACTTCCAAAAGGATTGACTCAAACCCATTAATTAAGTCACATATGATGAAACCTCAATTTAATGCTTAATAAGACATTAAGTCTTAAGTTTTAATAAGTTCAAGTACATTATTTTAATGTAACTGTAAGTACTTAAAGTTTATACACCATTTTAGGGTTGATAAGTACTTGGAACCTTATGTACATGGGGAGATTGAGTTGCAACTCTTCATGAATCCATAACAAGTAAATAAAGTGTTAGAATGCATTATATGAAGGTATTTCTAATGAAGTTCACCTACACGAATCGAAGTGGTGTTGACTCTAAAAGCTAAGGGTTTGGCTCTAAAGCATTTATGAAAAATATACAAGAATATGGCCAACAAAATTGTGTCAAGTTTTGCTAGATGACTTTTGTTGAGGAGTAAAATCTTATGTGTGATTTGATGCATGACTAATTGCATAAAATTATTGATTCAAAACCATTGTTCTACCATATAATTTTGATTATCAACATTATCACTAAGGAAAAGATTTTAAATTAGGATTGATATCTTCTTTATGTATAAGATTTTAAAAAATATTTGACTTACTTTATTTTAAAAATGGGGGAAAATTGTTAAAATATTTTAAAAATAGTGAAAGATGATTGGTTTAGTGTGATATTTAATCAAGGATTGAGAAACCAAGATAATAAAGCTTGAATAAAGCTTCATGATGAATGTAAGAACTGACTTGCATGTAAGAATTGTTTGCATGACTTCAAGTCAGGACATTTAAATGCCCATAGAAAGGCAGTCGAATTTTAGCTTTCTATTTTAGAATTTCGCTATGCAATCGAATGCCTTAGTAAGGAAGTCGATTTACTTAGATTCTGTAATGAAGACAGTCAAATGCCCTATATAAGGTAGTTAACTTCCCTTAAAAAAAAAAGAGCATTCTGGAAGCAAATTTACAAAGTGGCAACCGAATGCTTTGGTTGAGCATTCGGCTGCTCAATCTCAAAAGTTATGATTTTTTGTAACATGGAAATGATTTCTTTTGGAATCAGTTATAATCATTTATGAAATGATCTTTCACTTATAAACGATGAATGTGTTTGATGATTGAATCAACACAATCCACCATTGGTTTCAATATTTATAAATCCAGCGCAAGTCCTGTATAAGATCTGCAGTTTGTCTTGACCCTAAAATGGACCCTCACCCTAAATTTTTATGTACAAAATAAAAATTGCGAATTCAAACAAAATGTTCATTGTATATCATAGAATATTTCGATTAACCTCTTTTGTATCCCAACGAGGTGAAATAAGTCTAAAAAAAATGTCTTTCACATGAAGCCATTTCCTTCGAGCATTCATTTCTACATTTTGGTGCCAAAACAATACTACTATTGGTGCTAGATTACTTCATCAACACGAAGAGTTTCAAAACAATGGTAAGTAGGGTAGAGTGGTTAAGTTGATGGTCAAGAAAGGAAAAAGGTTAAAAGCAGACAAAAGCAGGATACAGTGAAGAGTTTGTTGAAGCTAATGAATAACTATGATGTCAGATATTTCAGTACAGAATTTTTGATATTTTGATTTTTTTTGTAATCACAATGATGATATTTACTTAGAATTTTTTGTTCATGGAGAGTTTTAGTTATTATGCTTATTTTAAGGAGTGTAGTTGGAGATAAATTACTTGGAATAGTTGTAGCTGGTGAAGACATAAGAAACTTTGTGTTGTATATATACTTTTGAATGAAAATCTGTTTCATGAGCTTTTTCCAGAAATTTTTTTTCCAAGGCAGCAACCCTACACAAAGTTTGATTTATCTATTTTTATTTTCCGTTTTTTATTCCAAATTTATAGTGCCATGTTGCATAACATGGGACTACTTACAAATATTTCTATTCTTTGCTGTACTCATAATTCTCTTTCCAGTTCTTCAAGTTTAGTTGACACAATCTTCTGCATACTCCATACTTTGGAAAAATTAATCTATTAATAATCCAAAAGAAAAATTAAAGCAACCAAGACTAACTGGGTTTACATTATAATAAGAGGTTGTTGTGGACTGCGGGCATTCCCCTAGATGAGAAGTAGGAGAATTGAAAGGCAGGCACAGGTTTCAACATCTGAAGCCAACTCAAGAACATTTTAAGAGAGGAAAGGAAACCAGATAATTTAATTTTTAAGTTGTTATTTTAGTACATTACAACAAAGGTCCAGTTGTTGAATACCATGACAGGTTTCCAAGTTCCAAATCCATACATCAGATAAATGATTACAAAGGTGATAAATCCAAACCTAAGGTTATCTGATGGAGTAAAAACTGGAAATGATACTTTATTGATGTGAAGAAGTAACAATCTACTGCTTTAATTTAGCTATAAACCAAATCATACCAAACCATCAGTCATATTCAGCACAGCGCAAAAGGAATACTCATGCATGCTTATGAAACCCGGATTGAACCATCGAGTTATATAGAACCAGAACTATAAGGTGCCTTTGGCTTGCTAGATCATGAAAGATAGCTAGAAATTCAGCATAATATTCTTGTAGTTTCACACATGAGCACGTTTGTAAGAATCATATCCTATTCCAACATTGAGGTTTTCAACTATGATGCTGTCATGATTTTCTCTTGCAATCAGGATACCAAATGATACATTAGATAGAAAAATCTTTTCAGCAACCCTATCTACAATTTGATATTTGAAAGCTTGACATGACAAATGCTAATTTGTATAAAAAATAGCAAGTAAAGCACGCTAGCTCTTATCAAGAAAATCATCCTTTGTCTCCCCAGCACAAAAGCCAAATACAGGTGATGACAATGGTTATCTCCTAAACATACCAGAACTTAGTAATGTTCTGCTATACTCAGCAATAATAGGAGAGCTCTTCACCAATTCCCATATCCTGGCAGAACTTTTTAACCAGTCACGTTCAGAAACATTCCTTGCAAAAGAAGGGCAGTTCATGGATAAAACCTGTAAGTACACTTGTTATATATCTGATATAATGAAGCAAAACCTTTTGACTTACAAAAAGCTAAAATATTACAGGATTTCTTAAAAGGCAGAAAAATAAAGAGGCAGCGCCAGGAGAATAGCTGCTAGAGAAGAGGGGTGCATAAAAAGAGACCTGATCCCGCAATTTCCAAAGTGAGGAGACATAGCTTTCGCACTGAGCTCCGGGAGAGTCATCTTTGTTCTTACATGGAATCACAAATAAATCCAAGAATGCTGTACCCTTAGCATTAATCGGAGTCGCATAAGACAGATCAGTGGCTTTATTTCCACAATTACGTCTCATAAATGAAGAGGAGCTGAAATATTGTAAAAGTGCCTTCTTTGTTTGCACAATATTAGGCGGAGAAAGATCTTGATCTTGTAGCCTATAAACATTAAGAACACAGATATGTTACAGTTGTGGACCTTTTAACGATCTCTGAGTATAAACAATGTACTTGTCCATCACATACTTGTAGAATATGAAATTGAAAAGACTATAAAGTTCTTGCAGGTTTACATCATGTAATAACCTTGAGATCTTTTTAAGATAAAATGTAAATAACGCAATCCCTAACTCTTAAATCATGCACATAATATGCCAAGATTTGCATCAATATTGGAAAAGGAAAATATGTGTCTTCAAAAACTGGCTTTGTCTAGTCGCTTGATCCAGTTTAACCAGGACCAAGTAAGCTTTCTCAGCCAGACAACCCTCTTGACCAGGAAAAATTTGAAAAAAATATTTTATTTAAGAAGAAAAAGGAGGAAGAGAACAATGATACCGGACAATGAGAATGAAGTGAATTTGAGATTTAGTCACACTTACAAAGAATAAGGATAATCTCACTTTTTGAGGATACAGAACTCACCACCCAAGAAAAATAAAGAAGATAACTCTAGCTCTAGGGATACAAAACTCACCACACTAAAGAAAAGAGTTAGGAAAGCTCACCATTCTAAGAAAATCCACCCAAGAGATACTGAACTTTTGATAAAAACAAGAAGGTTATTAATTTCAAAACAAATTCTTACACTACTGGCTCATTGAATCATCTTCCCTCATTATAGATTGGGGTTATTTATAGGTGATCTTAGAACAACCCTCCAAGACTAGGAGGTTGGAAAGACTACCTACATGTAAAATACCATATATAATAACATAACTAATGGACAAAAATGGACAAAGCATGTAGGCTGGAATAAGATCGCCATGCGACAAAAAAGCAAATTCAAATAAACTCCAATTTATCTACCTTGTGCTGGTACAAGTAAGCTCCCTTGAGTTGGAAAAGGAGTTTGAAATCAAATCACCAAATTGTCAAGTTGGATCTAGTATGAGTCTTCTCATATACTGTAAAAGGTATTTAAATTGGAATAATTCTCCATTTGTCAGATTTAGAGATGGAATAAGTCTTTCAATGTGCTGAAAAAGTTGTTTGAGATGTGAATCAACAATGATCATACCTGAAGTTGGATTTAAACTTCTCATGCAAAACACCATTTTGCCAAACTTGGAGTTGGTAACTTTTCCCATGTTCTAGAAAAGAGACTTTGAAACGTTAATCTCCAAATTGTCAAACTTGAGCTGAAAAGTCTTCCTTGTCCCCAAAAAATGGGTTGGATGCTAAACCATCATCAATTTGGGCCTTTGAATGGATATTTTCAGTAGGCTCGAATTGATGGTTTGCTCCTGCATCATTCTCCCCTTATTGAAAAGAACTCATTGTCGAATTCACTTCTAAGTATGGTATAATCGTAGAATGTTTTCCATTGTGAAGTCTCTCTTTTCAATTCAAATCACCATCCTTGAATGTAGCTGACCTTCCATGTTTGTTGGCTTGCACCACAATCCTCTCCTTGTTTTGATAGCCATCATGAAAAACCATTCCATCATATTTCCATGGATTTCTCAAAATGTGACAAGCTTCCAAAGGTATATCTTCACACAAAACAAAATCTTCAAATGTGGATTTGGTTGTAATTGAAATTTATCTACCATGGTTGTTGCCACTATAATTGTGCTGATTCCACTAGCAGAAATAACATTACACACCTTTTCTTGAGATGGGTCTATTGTGTTGAATACATATTCATGTAGCCACTCATCTTTTACATTAACAATGTTAAGATCTTTGTGGAGAACAAGAACTTCACTTTCTTTTTCCACATGCCCATCATATACAGGTTCTGTGAGCTCTATTGTTTTATTGAAGGTGCCTTTGCATTCTTCCTCTTCTTCCACATATTTATCATCCACAAATCAAAGAACTCATCAGATTGCATAGTCTTCAAATTCTGGAATATCAAGTTTGACATCATGATGACAGTCACAATTGATATGATTTAGTTTACGATGACCATATTCAATACTAAACTCTTCCCTCTCTTTTTGATAAAAAAGGTTGGGTTCTTCTCCTTAATTCTGGATGCATCAACTCTTCTAGCTGAATCATGATTTACCAAATGGTCAAGACGTTGTTGAAGTTGCTAGATCGTTCTTCTTATCTCATCCACTTGTAGATCAAAAACTTGTCTTTGAAATCTTCTTCAAGAACAACAATGATAATAGATTATAAAAGCTTTGCACACATCGGGTATCACATGTTCCAAAGCTAAGTACATCAAGTTTGTACGAACCAAAGCTAAGTACACTAGGTTTGCACAAACCAAAGCTCTGATACCAAGTTGATACCAGAAAATGAGAATGAAGTGATTTTGATATTTAATCACACTCACAACACTCACAAAGAATAAGGATAATCTCACTTTTTGTGAGAATACAGAACTCACAATCTCAAAAGAAATAAGAAAGATAACTCTAGCTCTAAGGATACGGAACTCACCATCTTAAAGAAAAGAGTTAGGAAAGCTCACCACTCTAAGGAAATCCACCCAAGAGATACAGAACTTTAGATAAAAACCAAAAGGTTTATAAAACTCTTACAATTCTCACTTAATGAATCACCTTCCCTCATTACAGAATGAGGTTATTTATGGGTAATCTTGGAACAACCCTCCAAGACCAAGAAGTTAGAAAAGACTATTACAACAAGGTGTAAAATACAATAAATAATAACATAACTAATAGAGAAAGAATGTAGGATGGAATAAGACTCCCATGTGATAGAAAATCAAATTCAAATAAACTAATGATTTTGGAGCAAACCGTCAATTTGAGCCCATTGAAAATATCCATTCAAAGTCCCATATTGACAGGTTAACATCGAACCAGCCCAACACTGTGGCAAGTCAAAGTACAAACCCAATCTTTGGTTAAAATTCTGAAGCAGCCCACTACACCCTGAAATTCTTTGATCAATATTCCAACCAATTCATTTGAATTTGATGACATCATTGGTGATGAAAATCTAAATCTGAAAAATTTTTACAAACTTCAAATTTGTTAGTATTCCAATATCAGCTATAATGAAAGGATGCCCTTGGTTAAACTTACGATTGAAAACAGTTATCTGATTAGAATAACAACGTTGTCTACGCTTAATTGCTTTGACTTCGGGTAGCTTCATACTTCCTATGTCTGATCCCATATCTTTAACAATTTGGGTAAGAAGATCCATGCCTGAGATCTTAGGACACTCTTTCAATGCTAAGGAATACTCACATAGATGATATATCTGAATGAAAACTCCTTTTATCACAGCACCATTATATTTTGCTGCATTTTCCCTCAGTATTTGCTCAATCTTTTTATATACTAACTTCTTAAGAATAGGATTAATATTATCATCAGTTAAATGTATGGATGTGGCCACTCTATATAATACCTCACTTGATGAAGGTACTAGCATATGACAACCCGTAGTGAACTTCTTATAGTTAGCCTCAATATTGCAAGCAGACTTCAATAGCAATTGCAACCCATATTTCCAGCACATAGACTTTTTAGCTTGAAGTTCGACAATTTGGAGATTAACATTTCAAAGTCTCTTTCCAACACTAAGGAAATTTACCAACTACAAATTTGACAAAATAATGTTTTACATTTCAAAACTCTTTTCCAACACATGGAAAATTTAAATCCAACTCCAAGTCTGAGCAATGGTGATTCACATTTCAAACAACTTTTTTAGCATATTGAAAGACTTATTACATCTTTAAATCTCACAAATTGAGATTTCTTACAATTCAAATATCTTTTCCAACACATAGGAAAACTCATTCCAAATCCAATTTGGCAATTTGATGATTTAATTTCAAACTCCTTTTCTAGCACAAGAGAGCTTACATCTACCAACACAAGGTTGACAAATAGGAATTTATTTGAATTTGATTTTTGTCACATGTGGGATCTTATTTTGATAGTACCTAAAATTATAGTGTTTTTATACATTAAAATTAGTGCTAAATTTTAAAATTTTGATGGATTTCGGTACTTTTAATGTTATTTTCATGTTTTTAGGGTTTAAAGCCATTGAATGAGGAAAACATATGATCCATGCATGTAAGGAAGTTTTGGCCATGCAATGTAAGAGGAATAGCCGAACCTCAATGGTCCAATTCACATTTGAAGAGTTTCACAAGCATATGGACACTAGAGACTTTCAGCAAATGCAAGATCCAAGCAAGATTGTTTGAAGACTTCTACTTGCACTAGGACTTGTCATGCGCCCAAGGAAGAAATTGCATTCATGAAAAACTTTCCAATCCTTATCATGTTCATACATTTCAAATCCAAGAAGAAGATAATTATCATTGGAAGAATTTCAAGCCTAAATGGACTCTAGTACATTCGGCCAAAGAGATTTGGAACTTCACCATGACTCTTTTTTTTAGCTTTAAAGAATTTCAAATGGAGGAGAACTTTATCTCTTTGAATTTCAAGAGTTTGGACAAAAAGCAAAATATTTTGTCTAGAATTCCACCTACATTCAAGAAAACCAATCCAATTTTTATTTAAACACCTACACTCAAGATTGGGAGGATCATCCTAGTTATGCATGGGGAAGCAATCAAGAGCTATTATCCACATATACCCTAATCTACCTTATGAACCCTCCATCTCAACAATACTTTCCTCAAACATATAATCCACCTGAGGAAAATAAGTCGAACCTAGAAATGCTAACCCAATTGATGCAGTCCAACAATGCAACAATCCAAAACCAAGCTACATCCATCAAAAATCTTGAAAGCCCAATAGGTCAACCAACCCAAGCAATAGCCAATCACCCTGTAGGTACTTTGCCAAGTAATACTAAGTCCAACCCAAAGAAAAAAGGCAAGAAGGCATGTAATGATATGTGCTCCTATGGGGAAGAGAGGACTTATTTTTCTAATGATGATGATGAAGAAGATTTAATTGATAAACTTGTGATGAACCTAACTAGTTTTGTGAAAGTACCTGATGAGAAAGAAGTTCAAG